AAAAAAGAAAGGGATAAAACACATTATACATATAGAATGCAGCTCTTTAAACCCAGTGTTAAACCTTGACCAAAAGGGAGTAGTTTACTTTTTCTATTCTTACGCATTAGACAATATAATTCCTGCATTATGTTTTAGGCCCCTAGTTTGACAAATACAAGTATATTTAGTGCTTTCTAAGCTTGGTTGTTTGCTTGTAGACATTTCCTTACCTGACTAGGTAACATCTTTAGTGCTAGTGAATGTGGAGTCACTAGCACTGATGATGTTACCTAGTTGGGTAATGAAATGTCTGCAAACAAACAACCAAGCTTAGAAAGCACTAAATATACTTGTATTTGTCAAACTAGGGGCCTAAAACATAATGCAGGAATTATATTGTCTAATGCGTAAGAATAGAAAAAGTAAACTACTCCCTTTTGGTCAAGGTTTAACACTGGGTTTAAAGAGCTGCATTCTATATGTATAATGTGTTTTATCCCTTTCTTTTTTACATGTTTCCATTTATTTAGGGGGATCTCCCCCCCCCCATTTCCATATATGAACACAATTTTTTTAAAAAAATGCAACTGCTTATTTTGTTACAACATTCCTTCCCTTTTCTGGTTTCAGCTATTTGGGTGCTTTTTGGCTTGGGAGACTCGAAATGTGAGCATTCCTGCTCTGAATGACAGTAAATACATTGGCATGAGTGTTTATAATGTGGGCATCATGTGCATCATTGGAGCTGCTGTTTCCTTTCTTACACGAGACCAGCCCAATGTACAGTTCTGCATTGTGGCACTTGTCATTATATTTTGTAGCACTATTACACTCTGCTTAGTCTTTGTACCTAAGGTGAGTAACTTGATTTATGATGAATGGTTTTATCTGCATATAATTTTGTACAGCAGTTAGGTTATCGTCTGCTAGAATCCACTGTGAAGTTCCTTTGCACAAGTCTCTTTGGAATGAGGAGGAACTATGCAAAAGAGAAGACTTGGCTCAACTTCCCCTGTAAAGTGAGAGCCAATAGAGCGTCATGGTTAGAGCACTGCAGTATGTTTCCTGTCTTGAGTTATATATATAAAAAGGCAGGAAATAATAACAACAACAACAACATTAGAACTGGGAAAATCAGGAAATAGAATGACTGTGGAAAAAGAAAGCAAAGATAGTACCAATAGTAATAGGCACCTTAGCTGCAATCCCAAAACATCTGGGGTACCACTTGAAGACCATCGGCATTGACAAAATCACCATCAGTCAATTGCAAAAGACAGTTTTACTTGGAATAGCTTACATCCTGTGATAATGCCTTTAACACCATTGAACAACAACATCTGCCTCTCCCAGGTCCTTGGGAAGAACTCAATAGGTGGATAAAAATGCCAAATCCAGTCTAAACATCTGGCTGACAGTGTGACCAACAACAATAACATTAGAATTGGGAAAATCAGGACCAAGTCTTCACTTCAAATTGTATTGTATAAGAAGTCTAGCTGACCTCTTAACATTGGCTATGGGGGAGGGGGGAAGAGGGGAACAGAAAAATATATAATTTGTTGTTGTTGTTTAGTCGTTAAGTCGTGTCTGACTCTTCGTGACCCCATGAACTATATTGCGCCAGGCCTTCCTGTCCTAAAATATATAATAATGTAGACCAAATGCAAATTAAATAAATAAGGTGAGTGGATTTTTCCAGGGTCTGATTCCTTTAGGTCTTGACAAGGTACTTGCTTTTTACCCAGACAGTAAGACTGGATCTAAGCAGTTCCAGCTTAGAATCCAGGTGGGGATCCAAGTGTTAATCTTTGAAACCACTGTAGTTAAGGATTGGAACAGGACTGGGGTGATCCAGCTTCAGATCCACCCTTACCCATGGAAACTCACTGCATGACTTTTGGTCTGCCATTTTTTCTTAAGCCAATCCATCTCAGTGGATTGTTGTAATGAGGGAAAAAAATGGAAAACGAACATTATATACACTTCCTTCAAAGGAAAGGTGAGATATAATCTAGCAAAAAATTCCACCATTAAAGATTATCCTTACATAGGCCTTTTTTAAAAAACGCAAGCTTCCACTTGAAAACTTCAGCAATACTGCATACTGACAACTAAGTTAAGTGACAGTAGTCATTGTTACAGTCATGTTTTGTTTAACAGTGGTTTGTTAAATTAACACAGTGGCTGAGTTCAGATAGTACATAATGACGTTATGGTTTAATAGGTTGGCTGAACTGGGCCAGTGTCAATTTACCTTCATTCTGAGACCAGAGGTGTCTGCAGGGGGAATCCAAAAACTCAAGATGGTATTTGCAACCATGTTTTTGAAACCCTGCTTCTTTTGTATGTGCATCACATCTGCAGTACATGTCAAATGGGTAGGGCTTTGATTGCATGATCATAGTTGCATCTTGACTTTTTTGGTCCATAGCCACCATGGACACCCCATCTTGAGACCTATATGACTTCTTCTACTAAGTTTGAAGGTTATTTCAAAATTACCTGTCAGAGTGTTCCTAGAAATAGGAAGAGGAAAGCCGTGTTAGTCTATAGTGGCAAAAAATTAGGACTTTAGTAGCACCTTTTCTGACTAAATAAATTTTATTAAGAGGCATACGTTTTTGTGAGCTATACCTCACTTCATCAGACGCATAGAGTAGATGCATAGAATGGATGCATTAAGGTGGTAAAGAATCATAGCAGTACCGTAGCTACTTGCACGTGTTTGTGGGTTTCTGACATTAGCTAAGTGGTGTGATAATAAATTTTTGCAAATTGGGTATGGGGTTAAATGTAGTTGAATAATTTTAACCCATCTGTATATGGAAAATGAGCAAGCTGAAAACATTGCCTCTAAACTTGATACTTGAATGTATCTGTGTACTCTATAACCTATATTTTATGTTAATGGGTGGGAGGCAAAAGATAGCCAATGAATCAATAAATATTCCTGAGGATTATCTCATTGCTGTTAAAATTTTCAGTTAATTACTCTGAGAACAAATCCAGATGCTGCCACTAGGAACAGAGGACTTCAGTTCACTCAAAATCAGAAGAAAGACGATTCAAAAACATCAACATCTGTCACCAGTGTCAACCAAGCCAGCACATCTCGGTTAGAAGGGCTACAGTCAGAGAACCACCAGCTCAGAATGAAAATAACAGAGGTATTACCTGCTCTGATTGTGTCCTGTTGACTTTGCATGAAAACTCACTTTGTAGAGCCAGGAAGCTATTTCACATTTGGAGTCAAAACAGATGAGATATAGAAAGCCACATTTTAAACTGCTCATGTGTTCCTTGTATGTAAAAAAATGCTAGAAAACCCAGATTAGACTGGGCACTGGCCGCATGAATGTAGAGAGTTTGCCCATTTTTTTTTCAGCTAAATTGTCTCCTCATTTCTATTTCCCAGTACTCCTGTCGCCCCACCAAATGTAGGATGTATTTTTAGCTATGGACCGATAACACTTTCAGCCAGGATTTTTAAATCATTATTATTAGAACAGAACAATCATCCATTATTTTGTAGATACTGTTTATTGCTAGTATTACTTGTAATTGATTTTCTACACTTCAAGAAGTAAGACATTTTGAAAATAAAACCATATTATTGAACATTGATTCATTTTTAGTATAATAAATGCAGGTTTCATAACCCACCAATGCCCATTTCCTAACCATCCTAATCCATTTGTACTCTAGTGGGAATATTTAAATTATTCTTTTTAAATATAAGCTAAAAGGTGTTTAATGCAATGTGCAATGACAAAATCCAACATGCTGCTAAAATGATACCTAACAGAAAGGCTGTGGCCACATTTAGATGAAATTATTAATAGAATTGCTGAAAATTCTGATTCATCATTCATCCCCATTTGGCTCTTGTCACCAGGAGCAGAGACTAACCTAATCAGAAGCTAAAGAGAAAGTAAACATTTCCAATTGTCTGTGCCCGTCCAAAACAGTCCAGCAGGGTGGGTGCACTCTGGGTCCCATCAGTTAAGAATGTAATCTTGTAGGACCCAGGAAGCACACCTACTCTGTTGCAATTCCTGCCCTCTGGAATGATCCCCTTCCCCCGGAGATTTCAGGAAGTTACTGAAGACCCAGTTGTTCACCCAGGCCCATGAATAAATTCTTGCAATATCTGAATCTGGACCCCTTTATGTTGCTCCCTTAAGGAACTGGGAAGAAGAAACCAGCTTCAGATGCAGATTTTAGGACAGTGGCATAAAGGCAGCCCAAGCAGACCCTCTGCCTAAGAGAGGGCTGCTGCTTCTGTGCACACTGTATCTTTTCCTACCCTCATGTGCCTTGCCTTCACAAGTCCCCTCCCAGGCAGTGCCAAATTCTGAGGAGTTCCCAAGAGCGAGGATTTGGATCTAATTCATACTCCAGAAAACTGCATGGGTATACAGTTGTTGCACTGGGATTTCTCAGAGTAAAGTATTGGAGTGAGTAGTCTTGTTCTGAGCCTTCAGAGCAAAGCTTTGGGGCTAAACCTTTCCAGGTGGTAGACCCCTGATCTTCTACCTTCCCAGTCTGCTGCCTGAGTGGGCTGCCACCCTACTCCTTCTGGCCGGAGCAGATGTGTTTTGCATTTATATAGTGCAACTACTTGACATACAGTCATCTCAGTAGTCCTTATGATGATCTTCTAAGACAGTAGGACATTATTACTTTCCCCAAGTATCAGAGAAAGAACATGATGAGAGGACATTGGCTTTCTCAAACCAATCTATTGAGTTCATGGAAGAACGGAATCAGAGATTTACTGATGCAGAGGTCAGGCTTCAAAGCACTTTGTCTATGACTGTTATCCATTTTGTAGCCAACTGGTGATAGGGTGGCAAATTTGGGTATATCACTGGGGAGATGATTACTGCATATAGTGAAAGAGAGGGATTTTCATTTATCCCTTAGCCACTTTAACTCAATGCAAAAATATACCCATGTGAGAGGGAGGGAGGGAGGGAGGGAGGGGATAGGTAGATGATAGATAGAGAGATAGAGATAGATGATGATGACAGAGAGGGAGAGAGAGAGATAATAGATATGTTAGATAATGTGCCATCAGGTTGGTGTCAATTTGTAGTGACTATATAGATAGATTTCCTCCAGGTCCACCTGTCCCTAGTCTGGTTCTTTTCCAACAGTGCACCTGTACAGTGCGCATTGCCACTGTAACTGAGTCTGTCTACCTTGCTGCTGGTCATTTTCTTTCTCTTTCCTTCCACCTTTCCCAGCATTATAGACTTTTCCAGAAAAGTAGGTCTTCATTATATATTCAGAGTATGATGATTTGAGCCTGGTCATTTGTGCCTCGAATAAAAGCTCTGGGTTGATTTGTTTGATGATCTATTTTCTCATTTTCCCATGGTATTCTCAGGAGTCTTCTCTAACACCAAAGTTCAAAAGTATCAATTCTTTTTCTATCCTGCTTCTACAAAGTCCAACTTTTGTTTCCATAGAGTGTCACAGGGAAAACTATTGCCTGCATGATTCTGATCTTTGTAGGTATAAGCATATCTTGGGATCTGAATAGCTTTTCCAAAGCCTTCATGGCTACTTTACCAAATGCTAGTCTGTGGTGTATCTGTTGACTGCTGGTTTCTTTATTGTTGATAGTTGATCTTAACAGGCAAAAACTATCTACTACTTCAGTATCTTCATTTTCAGTTCTAAGCCTGGTTGCTGTACCTGTTGTCATTAGTTATGTTTTATTTATATTTAATCTTAGTCCCATTTTTTCCCTGTGCTCCTTGACTCCATTCTGCATTTTGAGAATTACTCAAAAATATTCTTTTTTAGATAAACATCTTACTGAAAAGTAATTTTCCTTCATTCAACTGAGATAATTGAAAGGGAAAAATGCAGGAGAATTTATCTTCCTGAAATAATTTGAAGGAGGGAAGAATCCATCTTATATTGACTGCAATTATGCACTCTGGCAAGCAGTTTCAACTTGATACTCCTTGTCTTTTACAGTGGGAGTAAAGTCCTAAGCTCGTAAGCAAGAGCTTTTCTGCTGGGCATGCCTGCCAGCAGAATTTAACTTTTTGCTAGCTAGCCAACTCAAAGCTAGCACTACCCTTTTCTCCTATAGAAAAGGGGGTAGATTGAATGCAACCTCCTCAAAAATAGTAAAAGAGGCTTCCTTAATTTAAACCTGGCAGAAAGCACTTCCCAACTGCACCACAATAAGTTCATACTGATGTCTCAGTGATTCTTATACTAACCCAGTATTACAATTTCCATAATTGAATGAGATTTTATTGATAACTCCCCCCCCTCCCCAGGTGGTACTGCATCATACCTGGAGCACTGCTATTTTAAATAACTGATAATAATGGAATGGAAAGGATCAGAAAGTTACATACTCTTCCCAAATCTCTCCCACCTAACTCAGTGGGACATAAAGTTCCAAAATTTAGCTGGATTGCAATGAGTTTTAACTGCACTGATGATAGTGACTGGACTGGAAATCAAACTATATCACTTGGAGTTGGTTGCTGACCATCTGCTAGGCTTCTGTGGCTTCACATAGGAACATACTTAGAAACAATGTGATGACTTGATTTCATCTTAGATTAGACAATGTATTCTTTTTAATCTGACCTGCCATCTTTTACATATTTTTCACACAGAGGGTATACACTGTATAGAAACAGACATCGCTCTCCAAGTGAGACAGTATGGAAGTCATTTAAAACCTTGTATATGAGGGTATATCAATATCTGTCTAGTCTGACAGCTTAAGTGAAGGAAGGTGCTGAACTGTATATCTCATTCTAAAGGTAACATCTTTTAGACAGTGTATGTAAGAAGTAATGGAGATGGCCTTGGAGAAAGAATCCAGAAGTCATTAGGTCAACAACAGGTAGACTTGCAAGATTCTGTCGCTATACAGTATAGTTCTAGTTTTCCTGCTTTGGTCTATCTTGTAGGGCTGACAGCATGTTTGATGTGTTCTTGTCATTCTTAAAACTATACTGTGCATTCTTTATTTATCCCTTAATGGAAGTGAGTGTTCAGTTTTCTTTTTAGGCCAGGTTAGTTAAATTATGAAGCATGAGCTCCTGTTCCACACTTGACCCCAAGGATTGCAAGCAGGAAGAAACTGTTGCTGGAAACTGTTGCACCTTCTTCCCTCCCTGCCATCATCATGCCAATGGAGAGGAAAAATGCAAAGAATGCTGCGATTCCCTTATTTGCTCAATGACTTCACTAGGGACAAACTCCCTAAAGAAATGTTCCTCCCCGATGACAAAAATAACAGTTCGTAATCATAAGCTGTTATTGGTGGCTACTCCCAGTGTCTGGAAATCTCTATCAAGAGAAGCTAGGATAGCTTCATCTCTGCATCTTTCTACCAGGCAAACATGGTTTTTCTAACAGATTAGCATTATCTGCTGACTTTCTGCTGAAGTAGGTTTTAATTTGATGGACTATTGTTTATTTTTATTGTTTTAATTTGGAGAGTTTTAATGTTTTAATTTTTAACTTTGTTGATTTATCTACTATTTACTATGAGCTACCTTGAACATTATTTTTTGTGGAAAGATGGACAGAGTGATGAAGTTCAGCCATGCCAGAAGAGATTTCTTGGTATTAAAATCTTAGTGTTTTCACATGAGAGGTTTAAATGTACTTCAGTTTCTTTTGCATTGCTTAACTTAGTATGATGGTTTTAGTTATTTATTAATTCATTTGTAACAGAAAGCTGGGGACAAGCATTTGAAGTGTAAATGAACATCTCAGCTAACTTAGGTTTTACAGTCACATTACAAAGATAATTGAAGCAAGGGCCACTTCAGTCTTCAGGTATAAAAACATTAGAAGGCCAGATGTGAATCAGCCAGATGACTTGAGAAATTGTAGGAAACACCTCAACAGCTATCTTTAATGATCAAAGCTTTATCTGAGAGGGCTTTTTTTAAAGAACATAACACTAGTATTTGTCCTTGTAAGTTTTGCTCTATAATTTCTGCATTAAACAATCTACTTTTGAGGGAACAGCTGGAATACCAAGTTAGAGAGATTTTAGTACAAAGTTCTCCCTTTCATTTGATTTCAAGAACACTTTTCTAAATAAAAACATCTCCTTAACTACCCATTTGATAGCAGCTACCATCTAGCTACCAAGAGAGAATGCTTTTCCAGACCTTTTGCAATGTCATTATATATCCACTAACACCCTGGTGACTGCTTGGATTCTTTCTGCTGCTGGCTACTCTTGGGAGGATGAGCAGAATTAGAGGAAGGAACACTGGGAGAGGTTCCCCAAAGGTGCCTGTAGCAGCTGTCAAAAATCATACAGCCTAAACCAGCACCCATCTATAGCAATTTAACAAGGTCTAGTCTTAACATGTAATACAGGATGACACATGAGAAATGAAGTTAGAAGTAGCATTTACCTCCATCATACAGATTTCTGTTCTGTTATTCATAGACCAAGAACCTGTCTGATATATATAAGAAGTTTACTACTTATGGTTGGGCATATGCATGATCAAATGACAATATATTTATTTCTATGCCAAACTGATGTGATTTTTTAAAATGTTGGGTACTTTTTATCACATGGAAAGGAATCCTCTGCAAAGAAATAGAAATGAAATAGGAAGGACTTTTTTTGGCTATTTGCTAACAATGAAATAGGGAGGGTTTTTTGTTTTGTTTTTGCTGTCTCATTATCTATGGATTTCTCCACAGATGAATAATTGCAGTTTAAGTTCTTTATATGGGTGTTTTTTTTTCACATAGCTGAAATAAAAATACCACACAAAGCTGGTGAAGCAGAAGAACTTTGTCCATAAAAAGTAGGAAGAAAAAAGGAGAATAAAGGCCAGATAACAAATGTTTTCATATTTTTATAACATGCTTTTCTTTTAACAGTTGGACAAAGCTCTCGAAGAAGTCACAATGCAGCTTCAGGACACACCTGAAAAAACAACGTATATTAAACAGAACCACTATCAGGAGCTCAATGATATTCTCAGTATACGCAACTTTACAGAAAGCAAAGGTATGGAATTGATAATGCCCAGTAAAGATTTGGTTATATAAAAGGCATTGATTCCATGTGTCCTTTATGTGGTAAAACAGAATAAGAGCCAGCCATGATCAACAGCCATGATGCCACTGTTTTACATGAAAGATGTCAGTGAAATTTTGTAGGATTGTAGAAAACCTCATTAATACAGTTCTGCCTGAGCAACCTATAAAGGCAATGGTACAGAGACTTTTTGATCTTGGTCTCTTTCCCATTTCTGGAACTTAATCCACATTGATTTGCATAACTCAGTTCTAATCATATATTTTATTAGACACCATCTTGAAGTTCTCATACATTGCTCCCTACCACTTCCTAATCCATGGGAGGAAGAGAAAGGGATGGAACAGAACATCTCATTCCTCTCCTATATCACACATAGGAATGAATTTATGAATTAAAATAAGGAGCTCTTTATGAGCTCCCTTCTTCACAAAGCTGACTGGGATATTGGGGCAATGAGGTTCGGTGTTTTCATTCTTCAGATACTAGGGATTTCATCTGATTAGGTTTTGACGATGAAGAAATAGGCTTTATCTTGCTCCTGGTTATTCTCCATTCCTAGAGCTTTGGGTGAGTCCTTTGGCCCACCCTTAAAATAGATAATGGGTATAGTAGGATTAAGTTGATGATTTGCTATGTAGTAGCAGTTAGTTCTTATTTTTGGCAACTGACTTTCAATTAGAAACGTAGCTTAATTTCTGGTGAATATATGGACATCTCCATGTAGTTTTCTTGGTAATAGTACAGAACTCACTTGCTATTACATTTTCCTACATGTTTTTACAACGCTATATAATCTAGCCTACAGCCCTTTTTTCTGATAGTCTTCCATTCAACTGCTAACTAGATCTGATCAAGCGCCCTTCAACTTTCAGCATGTGGCTCAAGTTTTATAGGAGTTTTAATCCAACATATCCAACTGGGTGGAGGCCTTACATATATTCATCCCACTTCTGATGAGCAAAGTTTGCATAATTTCATGGTGTTTTTAAAATTTGCCAACCCAGTTTAGGCTAAAAGCAGTGACAAAAAGGCAATAAATTTTGAACTAGAGGGGTTTTTTTAGTTCCTTTCCCTGTCTAATTCTATATGAAGATTGGGATTGACAAGTATAATAATCTGAAGGCTTCCCAAGCCCTTGGCAGCTTTCCTGCAACAACCCAGTCACATGCTTAATCAATTTCAGAGGCAAGAGGGCAAAACCCACAAGAAAACATGTCTGTTCAAAGCATGTTTGTTCACTCCAGTACATCTTTGAAATAGTTGCTATAGAGCAGTGTTTCTCAACCATTCAGTGTTTCAGGAACTTTGAGATGGGTGGACTTCAACTCCCACAATTCCCAAGCTAGCTGGGGAATTTTGGGAGTTGAAGCCACTCATTTTAAATTTGCTGAGGTTGAGAAACACTGGTACAGAATATGTATATGCATAACATCCTTTCCAGAAAAAGAAAATTCCAGGGCATTCTGGAAGATTCTATTCCTCCTGTAGACCACATTGATCCAACCATTCCAGGGATGGTCTTGCAGGTTTCTGGAAGTAAATCTTCTAGAACAGAAGATTATTCGTGGAGTTGCAGCTGTGGTCCATTCATTCTCCCATAGCCAGTTCTTTACAGCCTAAAGACACAAGATGCTTCTCAAGACATACAGTCTCATGGGAAAGGAGCCTAGCTGGGTGTCATCAGTGTACTGATGGCAATTAGGTGCAAATCTGCAGGTGCCCCTTCTTTGTAGCTTTGGACAGATGTTAAATACAATGGGAGGTAAAGATAAAGACTTTATCAGTTAATATGGGTTGAATATGAGGAGAAGGGAACTATGTTATGTAGTTCTGAAGGGGGAAAACAGTTGCAAGTAAGTCTACAACAGCTGTAAAGAAGATCAGAAGTTGCTTCTTTAAGTATCTTTTTGTTTTCTTTTTCTTTTTCTTTGGTCTTTATTGTTTTCAATACCTTTTTATTTATCTTTCTTCTTTTTCTCTATTGCTTTGTCTTTATCGGTTAACTTTGTAAAAACCCTTTTTTAATAGAAATTATATATAAAAAAAGAAGATAAAGATAAAAACTATACAGCACCTATTCCTCCAAAGAATTCCCCAAAGGCTGGCAAGTCAGTAGCCAAAGGACTGAAAAATAGCTAAAGCTTAGCATTACCTTCTGGGAGCATTCAGATAAACGCAAAGAAGTGCCCGTACACCCCATGTCAGCTAAACATCTAGGAAAGAAACCGTTGTTGCAACAAGTGAAAAAGAATCTTTAAGCACAAGCTTGGTTTACTCAGGCAATTTTTTAAAAAGGAGCATCCGTGACAGATGAGCATATTTATTCTTAACTTCATTGAAGGTGTATTAAAATACCATTGTAAATACTTTTAGCTTCTCAGAAGAAAAATAAGCACATTTATTTGTAATACAACATTGTTGAACTGAAAAAGCCATGCAGTACTATGAGGGTTCATGAATTCAGCAGAATGATGAGAAATATGATACACGGAGATGATCAAGGTACTCACTAACATACCAGAAATCCTCACACTGCTTAAGTCAAATTATGAAGGAAGGGAGAGAGAGAACTCCTGATACAGCTACCATAGAACAACTTTTCCAGTTCTGGTTCCCTATTTACCATATTTTCCAAAATTCCTGATAGAATTGGGATTTGTAATCCAATGTATCTGAAGAAAAGCAGATTGGAAAGTGCTACTATAGAACCTGGGCACTCCTGAGATAATTGTATTATTATTTATTGCATTTGTATCCCACTTCTTCTCTGGTAGCTCAAAAACATGTACACAGAAATCTCCTCTCCCCTCCTTTTATCTCCCCACCCCCAACAACAACAACATTTTGAGTTGTGTTGGGCTGAGAGAGAATGACTGGGCCAGTCATCCAGTGAGCTCCATGGCAGATCCAGGCCAAACACTCAATATGACATGACAGAGGTGGGTGGTGGTACATGGTAAAGTTAATTCTTCTTCAAGTCAGACTTGCCTCTTAATCCCTTCCATATCAAGGAAGCTTTCCTGGCAATAGTACAGAACTAGTTTACCATAGCTCCCCTCCAGGATTTTTTTTTTTTTGGTGACTTTCCAATCTAGTCCACTTGAAATTCCTTGGGAATCTATCAGCCAAGGAAAAGCCAGACCCAACTCTGCTGAGCTGAGCTCAGAAAGTGTCCGCCAGGTACCCTCTATGTGCCAATGGCTGGACTGTGATGTCTGGGGAAACAAGAGTCTCTCGAATGCAGAACTATTTCACTTGGAAATGTTATCACCACTTTTAGAGGATGTTGATTTCCATCTTAAAATATCTCCTTTATAGAGTATGATTTATGTACCTATATTTCTTGTATATTAGAGAGAGAGAGAGAGAGATGAAGTAACTTAATAGAGGTATGAGCAGTTTTGTTGACTGCCAGCAGTGGTATTTACAGTCATTTGGGAGCAGCAGAATCAAAGAGTCACATAAGCAGATCATGTTTGGTCTGAGACATTTGGAATAAAACCAGAGTTTCAGAGCATATTCCTACATTAGAAAATCTAGGTCTTGATTTTCTGTTTGTTGGGGGTTATTTTCCTAGAAAGAAAGATTGAGAATAAATGAAAACTAAGGTTTGTAGTTTGAGAGCTTCCGGAGGCAAGAATAGCTCAGTGTTTGTCATAGCAGCCTCCTTTACTCCAATACAAAACGTGGGGGGGGGGGCGGGGGGCAGCTGGGTGACAAAATTAAATTTTGGTAAAAACTACTCTCCCTCCATCTGCATTTGCAATTCTCTATTACCTGAGAGAGTCCCCTAAGGACTATTGGATATTTTTGGAACTCTAGTAGGTATAGTCAGACAAAAAAATAATAGTAATTTCCCAGAAGATCAATGTTAGAAATAATTTGTCCCACAACCAATCAATATGATGGAGATGGAGTCTAAGTTCCTTAATACAAAATTAGAGGTTCTGACTTCAGATAAAAAATATCCATTACATAATCAAGGTAAAGATGGAACATGGTGAAGCATAAGAGAGATAAATATCATGGTTCTTAATTATGGATTTGTTGGATTCTGCAGATACTGCATAGGGCATGTTCATAACTGAAAATCCCCTAGTTTTGGCTACATTTTAGAGTGTGTTTTTAAAAAATATTCAGTACTTCATGTGAAAAAAAGTGAAATTGTGCAAGGAAAAAATAGTTCCACTTATTATTATTCTTTTTCTAGCAGAATTAATAGGAAGGGAATAGCACTGGAATTTATTTGTAATCCTAATGTTAGAAATCTGATTCTTAGTGTATATGTTGTGTGTGTATAGCTTTTGTAAATGCTATTTTGGGGGGGAAGAAAGGTCATTTCTTCTTTCTTTACATAATTTGTTTATAATTTATTTTAATCCAAATAATAAACATTAGTATTTTCTAATTACCACAAGAACTATTGTTGTCTAGTTGGAGATATATTTTAGATCAAATAAATAATTTTGAGAAACAGTAATGTAGTTTGTAAAATAATTGTATTGTTTTGCAAATAATATGTGGTGTAGAAAAATGCATTATAATATTCCTTAAATAAATGTCTGAAAATATATTTTTGCCCAGATGGTGAAAAACCAGTGTTGAAAAATCATCTTGATCAAAATCCACAAGCACAATGGAATACTACAGAGTCATCCAGAACAAGCAAAGATTTTATAGAAGATATCAATTCTCCAGAACAGTAAGTACCATAATTCTTCCTTGCTAGATGTTCACCATAATTAAAAGTACCTTACTTTTAAAACTGCATATTGATTATACAAAATACGTTTTAAGAAAAATCATTTGAGACAAACTAGTAATTGATAATTTGGGGAAATTTTTAACATTTGAATGCATTGGCATTTATGATGATTGCTTGCATTTTTTTTTTCTAATTTGGGGCTTTATTAACAGTGTTGATCCCCCTCTAGAGATCTGAAATGCTTATGTTCATGTATGGGTATCTCTGCTGTATTATAACATCCCTTCCCTAGTATTAATATATTGGGTAAGTACTGTTTATATTCCGTAAATGAATAAAAGAGAAACACAAAGCAGAGGTTGTAAAATCCACAGAATGAGTTACTAAGGAAAGAAAGAACAGCACTTAGGAGGGGGTTCTGCTCATTGTCCAGGGTTTGCCAGACCAGCTACAGCATTTCCTGAGGTTCTAGTATAACTCCCAGTGAATGCATCCCCAGGCAAAGGGCCCTTTGCTAGCAGCCCTCTTTTGAACACCTGGCTAAATGTTCTTCCAGTTTATCTGTCCACTTTGTATCTTCACAGCATACAGCGTCGACTCTCCTTACAGCTGCCCATTCTTCATCACGCTTATTTGCCATCAATCGGAGGGGTTGATGCCAGCTGTGCCAGTCCATGTGTCAGCCCCAGTGCCAGTCCACGGCACAGACATGTGCCACCATCTTTTCGCGTGATGGTCTCTGGCCTGTAGGAGGACATCAGAGCTCTCTGAACTGCTTTTGGTACTCAATGGCTGGACTGAACGTCTTGTGTCGAACTCTTGCCTTCTACATATCCTTACTCTTACCACAGAGAAACTAGTGCTATAAGGCCATTATCAAGGGAGGGCCAGCTCCGCTGCTGGGAAAAAGCATGTGAAGCGGAGAGGTTAGGCAAAGGTTGATCTGTAGCCTTATTTGTGGACGTTTTTATTTCTTCACAAAGAAAGTCACCAAAACCATGTTTCTTCCCGAATTTCTATAGGAGGTAAGGTGGCTAAGAAATCTAAACTTGACCAAAAAAAAAAAAAAAAGACAACAGACCCCACTGCAGCATCACTAAGCTTTATATTGCTACTGAAAATGTGGAAACATGAGAAGAAGAAAAGAAACATCTCATCAAGAGTGCTGTATTAACTGAAATGTATACCATTTGTATATCAGGGATTGTGTTCAGCTTCTGGAGACCTGAGCTCGTTGGGCTGACCTTAATTTCTGGGACTACATTCAGTGAGAAAGAGGAAACTTTTAGAAATAGTTCCAGCATCACTGAGACTTGCACACAGTCCAGCTTCACTCCTCTCAAGGCACGCTTGGGGCAGAAAATGCTTTAGGGGGAAACAAATCTTAGAGCGGCTACAGCAGGCACTCCAAGTCTTGAGAGTGATCTCTTCCTCCTGTTAAGACATTGTGCTTGGTTGAATCCTGGGGCGACCTTCTGCAAATAGCAGAAAACTGGGTCTGACAGTGCTTAAGGCTGAGGATTGCTACTGAAATCTTAATGTCACAGGGTGGATTTTTTTCTCCCGAAGTTTGCTTGATTTAAACCACAGCATAATTAATAGTACAGTTAACTGAGCAGAGGAGCAAAGTGGTAGGGCCCTTAGGCACCACACTTTGCGGCTGCAGTTGAATTCTGCAGAAGCAGAGATCATACAGACACCACCTTTGCTTCACATCTGTGTGTGTGAGAAACAGCGGTCATTGAGAATAAGATAGGCTGAACCACGTTTGCCAATATTGGGCAAAACACCCTTTGGGCTTTGAATTAAAAAAAAAAAGACAAAAACCCAAATGCGGTGTAATTTGAAGCAAAGCATTTTTTTTCCCTCTCTTGTGGATTCCACCTGAGAGAATAGATTTAATCTATTTCCCCCCTGGGATCAACTGAATCTGCTATTAATTAGAAAGCAACATGAGAGAACTCAAATGAAGTGGGCTTCCATAACTTACTTTTAAGATTTGATCCACATATGTGCTGCTTGTATCCTAGTGGTTCTAGGACATGTTGCTAGGATTAAGATTATTTGGGCATGCATAATCCAAAGAGAGGCACCTGCACCCTTTACCATTACATGGCATGGAGAACTTCAGGAGATGCATTTCCTTCCTGGCTAAACACATGAGAGATGCCACACCGTGTGGACTTCCAATTGCTCCGTAGTTCTGGGCCACAATTCCTTCACTGCTGCAGGTTGTGCGTTCAACATGGGAAGGGCCTAGATGCAAGGGCTAAAATTGCCCTTGCCTTACTGCATCCTAGGATGTTCAAGTGAAAGCTTCGGTCTATGCTTTTTCATGTCTCTAGGTTTGTTGGTTTTGTTTTTAATTGATGGAGCTGCTTGTGTCATCTGACATACTGTATAGTTCCACCAGTTAAAAAATATGGATTGTTTGGGAAGGCATAAATCACACAGTCCGTCAGTATCTTGAGCACGCTTGAATCCCAAAGTGTGCTGCGAATAAGGATGTGCCGACCATGTGAAAGGCACAGAAGCACACTTCAGAGCCTGGTTGTGGGCAGAAGACAGACAAAATAACCCCCCCCCCAAAAAAACCCTGTTCTTCCTTCATCCCAGTATCATATTGATTCAGAATATTTTGTATTGCTATAAGAACAGCAAAAAAACTGACACTGGACCTATTACCCTGAGCTATTAGCCAGACATGAAAAACCAAACCAAACCTGTAATATCACTTTCATTTTCCTTAAACACCATTCTTACACTATAACCAATACCAGTTTGCCAAACTGCACCGCTCACCATTGGAACTGGAACCGTTTCAAAATGATATATTAATTAAAGCTCGTAAAAGACGGTACGGTGGAGAAGAGGTAGTCTATTTCTATTGCACTTTCTGTTCCCACACCACAGGAATGAATCTGTTCCACAAATGTCCCCAGAATAGCATTTAGTATCTGCACAAGAAAGAGACATGCCAACCGAGTCACTCCCGATGCCTCTGATCCTACCTGCCTGATTATATTTCCCATGAATCTTAATCCCCTGGAGGTATCACAGAAATGCTGCCTGAGTACATGTCACGGAGAAGTCAGGAGGGGATCTGGAAGGGTTAGAACCACAGTGAGTAAATTTACCATAAAGGAAGTAGAACACATTACTCCATTTGAGCACTAACCACTGAAGGTGTTGTCTGGTGTGACTGTGGGTGTGCACATGCGTGCACGCACTTGTGCGCGTGCATGTATGTATGTTAACAGTATTCTCTTAATGTATGAATAAACTTCATCAGGACTTTATTTAATACAAATAAATATTACTTTTCAAAAAAGGACAATAATACTGTATATAATGTATACACAAACATTTCTGTAGAAGATATTATTCCAACATAGCAGGAAACAAAACAAAAAAAAAATCAAAAGTATTGGACTCTTGGCGGTGAGTGTGTGTCTGTAACTCTTTGTGAATACTGACTGTGTGCTGTTTCTTAGGTTTAAATCACGCACTACATTCTTTGTCTAAAATGCAACTGTAGTTTCTCCCACAAGTTTTCTTTTCTTTTCTTTTTTAATTTCCTGCAGAAAATAAGACCCATAAAATGACTATATCTATTTAATGTTTCTGGGGTTTTTTTATATCCTGCAGCAAAAATGTCCTGTAAAAAACTATGATGAGGCTATGCCCCAATGGCATTTTCCAACAACGTTAGTGCACAAATGCTTCGACCCAGACTGGACCAGTAAGAATTATTTTTTAAGAAGCAACAGAGAGGAAGAACGAGAGAATTTGGAGAATTTCTTGTATACCCCTTATACTGCATGAAAATAAATTTTTAATAAATTGTTGCAAAAATCTGTTTTATTAATAAAATAGAGAAAACCTAACTAACTACTACGTGGTGATTCTCTTTTTACAAATACCCTTGTAAAAATTCAGCAAAGTGTTCATAAGAACATAAAAAGGGCTCATCTGATCAGCACTCTTTGGGGGAACAGGGAGCCTCCTGGTTTTCTTTTGTATGTCAAACCACATGTGGGTTTGGTGGGCAAAAGCTGTCCTAGGCTTTCTTCTGTGTTTAGAGTTTGATTCTCCAAGAAAAGACTACACAAAGTGAACAGCGGCCAGACAGCAAACAACATAGTCACCATCATGGCTACAGCGGTAAATAATCTCTGTTGAAGGCAAAAGCCAAGGAACTCCCTTTTTCCTCTTCTTCCCTCAGTGGGATAGAAACCATGTGCTACTTTTTGGATTATACTGAAGTAGGAAGCAAAAGTTGTCCACGAGGTTACAACAGCTCCCAGGCTCATTACCAAATGCATTGTACAACTGTAGCTTTGAGAGAAATCAGTGGATAGGAACACAGAACAAATACCCAATGGAAGGAGGAAGTAATACAGTACTGTTTCTTTTCTGCATTTTAGCATACAGTTTTAGAACTTTTTTTTTTTATGTATGTAAGTATACCACACAGCAAACTATATATATTTCCAAACTGGATTTGACTGCATACGTGCCAGACTCTATCAGTTTTTACTTGTTCAACTTCCTGTGGATGAACTTCTAGAGTGGTAAGTTCATTATATAAGAAATGAATCAAGAACAAGCAAGAATTACAAGCCTACTGGTGTATTAGGAGTCTTCATCTAATACTGGGCATTTGTTGTGCGCGCACCTGCATACGCTCCTTGGAGGCAGCCAAAAACACTGAACATTAACTTTTACATTTTCAGATAATTAAATTTTAGGGATACGGAAGACACCCTTTGCTTCACTTACATGTTTTGCACAAGAAGATTTATATTTTTCTTCCTCCTCGTTAAAATTCTGTTGTGATGACTAATGTGTAAGAAGTAATCCACAGGTGTCCCTGTATCTTTATCCATGTTAAAAAGGCATGCCACGTGGACAACACAGAGACTGTATATATTCAAGGATTTGCTTGCAGAGCCCTCAGAGGTCCAGTTTAGTTTATCCATAACTAGGTTATGGGGAAATGATAATTGTTCCAACATCACTACTAAATGCACCAAGACAGCAACCACGACTGCTGACGAGGGCTTAAATTTTATTCCAAACAATCCCAAAGTTGCTGAGACAATAGCAAGGAGGCAACCTTGGAAGAGATTGAGATCACTGGGAGAACATTATAAAAAGCATTATAACTCTCCCATATTAATCCTACTCTCAAATCTATTGTTTATTCTACTCAATTAAATAGATTAATAGTGAAGGAACACAATCTTCTCCTGCTAGGATGAAGAAAAGATTCAATATTCTCCACCTCCCACGATCTGTATGGATTTGTTCACATATGTGTGTACACATGTAGGTGTATGCACACCTGCATGCACCTACATGTATATACTCACTGCCCAACCTTGTAGATGATCTTTAAAGTCATGGATTAAGCCTTGCATTTGTTATTAGTTGAAAAAAAGATGAAACAAATATGAACATACAGGTAGTCCTCATTTAGCAATCACAATTGGGACTAGCAAATCAATTATTAAGTGAAACAATTGCTAAGTGAAACTGCAAGTGTGCTTATGATCTTATGATCTTCCACTTTCTTTTGCTTTAAAGACCTGCGAAGGACATAAATGTGAGGATTGGCCATAAAGTTACTTTTTCATCACTGTTGTAATTGCAAACAGTTGCTAAACGAGGCAGTCGCTAAACGAGGACTACCTGTATGCACCCTTAGATTCAACAGCTACTTTCACCATGTTTAGCTGCAATAACTGCAACCAAATATTTCATTATCACTCTCTCATATCACTTTGTAGGAATCTGGTTCATTCCTTCATGGTGAACTGCTTCAACTCAAGAATCTTTTGACAGTTTTCTAACATGAATTGCTTGTTTCAGGTTCTGTCTCATTCCTTTGACTTGGCCATTCTAAAACAGTGTCCTTGTTCTTCATTCTCTTATGGACTTGCTTGTATCTGTGGAATTATTTCTTGCTGCATGACTCCCTTGCACCTCAATTTCAGCTGACTTGCAGTTTCTCCTGGAGATGCAAAATCGAATCCTTGCCTCCTTGAATAATGACAAGTCAGCTAGATCCTGATTCAACAAAGCATCCTCAAAACCATGAGATAACCATATGGCTATATTTGACAGTTGGCATGAAGTTCTTATTGTGAAAAGCAGTATTTTGTTTCCACCAGACACTGGTGGAATATTTGATTTCCATGTATCCCAAAAAGTTCCACTTTTGACTGTTAAGTCTATAGAACATTCCTCTAGAAATCTGGAGGGTCAGTCAAGTGCTTTTTGGCAAACTTGAGACAAGCATCAGTGTTCTTAATGAACCATAACTTCCCCCTTGCTCCCCCATGTTTACTCAGCTTTTCTAACAGTGGAATCATAAACACTGATTATGCCAAGGTGAGAGAGGCATGAAGATCCTCAGTATTGTTCTGGTATTCTTTATGATTTCCTGGATAATGTTAAGCTGTCTTCTTAGTGATTTTGTTATGGCAGCCACTCTTGGGAAGATTCACTACAGGTAGTCTTTGCTTAACAACCACAATTGGGACTGGCAACTCTATCACTAAGTGGCACAGTTGTTAAGTGAAACAACACATGACTGTGCCAGACTTACGTCAGTTCCACTCCAGTCATTAAGCGAATCATCCACAGTCGTTAGGTGAGACATCACATGGCCACAACTGGTAATTTTACTGCTGGCTTCTCCATTTACTCTGCTTGTGTAAAGCACACAAATGGTGATTGCATGACTGTGGGATGCTGTGATGGTCATAAACACCCACTGGTTCCAAAGTGCCCAAATTTCAGTCATGACCACAAGGATGCTGCAATGGTTGTGTGAGGACCGATCGTATAGTTACTTTTTCAGTCCCATCATAACTTTGAACAGTTGCTAAACAGGGCAGTCTTGAATCAAGGACCACCTGTATTGTTGCAAATCTTCATTTCAAATCAGAAATGGATTTGTAATCTTTTCCATATTGATAGGCATCAATGACGTCAAAAAATTAAGGGGGGACGTGATATGCCTCTAGAATTGGTTTGGTAATGAAGAGAGATGAAATCTGTGAGATTTACAGTGGAACCTCGGGTTACGAATTTAATTCGTTCTGTGACTCTGGTCGCACCCCGA